TTAACAAAATCATAGCTTTCATTAAGATGGCAGCGCCTCTCTTGAATCAAATCTTCAGTTTGTTTAATTCCCCTAGCTCTGTATCCCCGCAGCAGACGGTTTTTTCGCAGCAACCTTCGCAGGCCTCCCATCCAGCGGGTGGGGCGAGCGGTTTGTATCATTACTAAAGCACCTTTGGCTTCCTCCTTCGATTCCTCCCTCGCCCCCTTCCCCTCCTCCCTCCCCTACATCCCCTTTCCACATCTCCCCCCTTCCTCTCCCCCTTCTCCTTCTCCTTGCTTGTCCCCCCTTTCTCCTTTTCCCCCCCTTTTTCTCCCTCCCCTTCCTCTCTTCAACTTTCTAGATACCCTCGTAGGCGAGCTCCTCGAGATGGCAAGATTAAGGTCTTGTCTTGGAATTGCAGGGGATTGCGGGGGAAAATACCGGACATTCAGCGTTTGGCTGGCTCGTATGACGTCATCTGTATTCAGGAATCGCTGCTTAATCCCCTTTCTAAAATCTCTCTTAAGAATTTTCGACTTTTCAGGAAGGATAGATCGTCAGTCGGGGAGTGCGGCATATGCATAATGGTCGGCTGCGATCTTTCCTTCGAGCCTATCGATGTCTCGTCTGTTCTGCACGACTCATTAGAGGTCCAGGGTATCAAAATCCGGAGTGCGTGCCGTGAGTTAATTGTCGTAAATGTTTATAGACACCCGAACAAACATACGCCTATTGCTGTGTTATCCGCGCTTTTCGAGCTCGCAAATACGTATAGCAATATCTTGTTTGTAGGTGATTTTAATGCACATCACAGCTCGTGGGGCTGCGGCAAGACGGATGTAGTGGGTAGGAATCTGCTGGCCACTCTTGACAGACTGAACCTGGTTGTTACCAATAATAGATCTCCCACTCTTCTTACGCCTCCTGGATCCGCCGTCTCGATCATCGATCTGGCTATCGCCTCCGCCTCTTTTGTTCCCTTTTGTACTTTTCTTAGCTTGCCTGACACGGTCGGCAGTGATCATTTTCCCATAGTCATTTGTCTGGGTGTTGACGCCCCTCCCAAAAGAAGGTTCTTATATAAGATTGAACTAGGCAAATCTCAAAAAGCTGATCTTTTCGTTCGATTATCTAAAGAATCACATCTCCTAGAGTGCTTAGAAGGGGACGATGAGGCGGCCACTAGCTATTCTCGTTTTATTGATTTGATCAAAAGTCATGTATCTTCCGTTCTTCCGGATAGAGACATCTCTCCTCGCACGAAGCTTGTTAAAAAATTCAAAGCCTCTCCAATATGGTGGGACGAAGATTGCCAAAGGGCTATTGAAAGTAGAGCAGAGGCGATGCGCACTTTTAAGCAATTCTCATCTTTGATTAATCTAATTGCATATAAGAAAGCCTGTGCTTCGTGCATCAAAATTCTCAGCAAAGCGAAAAGGGATAAATGGAGGGATCTCTGCAGCTCCTTTGACGGGAAAACTCCTACCTCCAAACTTTGGAACCTCATTAAATCATTTAGGAACAGGAATCTCGTTCTTACTAATGACGTATCATGCCCTGCTCAGGCCATTGATCAGGCTATCTTCAATTTGTGCCCAGACTCTTGCGTGGATGGGAACCTGCCATCCCTCTCGCAAATGAAATTACAGGATGCGAATTCTCCTAATGTAATTATTTCTCTTAACGAAGACTTATCTAGGTCGGAATTAGACTTAGCTTTGAGCTCCTCTAGAATCAGTTCCGCTTCGGGACTGGATCAGATTGATTATGATCTTCTCAATATTCTCACGGAAGAATATCGCGTCAAGCTCCTTGACATCTTCAATAATATCTTTAAAACCGGCTCATTCCCTGAAGTCTGGAAATCTGCCTTAGTAACCTTTATCCCCAAGAGCGATGGTAAAGGCTTCAGGCCCATTTCCCTTCTTTCTTGCGTATTTAAACTAATGGAAAAGATCATTTATTATCGACTGCGCTGGACCGTTGAGTCCAGACCCATCTTGCCCGACTTTCAATTCGGTTTTAGACCGTCTAAATCTTGTGCAGATAACTTGTGCACTCTTACTAACTACATACATGCGGGATTTCTTGAATCCAAGGCCACAGTTGCGGTCTTCCTTGATATTAAGGGCGCCTTCGACAACGTCATTCCGTCAATTCTTTTACAGGACCTTCTGGACATTGGAATTCCGGCTAACATCCGCATGTTCATTATGAATTTCATTAAAGAAAGGAGGCTCTTCGTTGTGGATAATGGATCTTTGCGCGGGCCCTTTCTTGCGCA